CACATTTCTGCATTAGGATTCAACAATAATAATAAAATAATGACCCAAAAAAATCATTTGCAAAATAGTTGGAATTGTTCCACAGAAAATGCAGCCCAGCAATCTTTTTATGTTCCTCAAGCAGATTAAGATGGGAGGGAAGCTGCAGGAAAGCAAAATGCTGAATGGGTCAAATTCCTAACCGACACCAGGAAGTGGTTTATCACCATGTCAGACATTTAATACACAAATTTCACCATCACAGAAGACTTGTTTTTGACAACATGTTTGCTGAACCATATCTGCTTTGTTCCATTCTATATCCACAATTGCAGTGTATTAGATATGTGCAGGATAGGAGCTGTTCTACCCGCAGCAGATATTCATTCGCTGCTCGTCTGCATGTTTTTCATCTGTTTCATTTGTATAAGATAACTTCCTCTTTGAATAAGGAAGGATCAAAAAAGTGTATTGCAAAATCCAGCTGTTGCAACATCTGACAGCTGCAAAGTTTTTTCCCCGTAATTATGAAACTCTCTTTTATGGGATATTTGGTTGTCAGCTGTCAAAATTAGTATGCAGTTGGCATTGCACTATTTTAATGGTGAAGAAGAATCTGTTTTGTGGCTTCATGGCTGATTCCAAAACACGTATCTGTTTAAAACCCTTGTTGATTACAAAGTGTGGTTACAAAAATATGGATCCCATTTTTTATTGGGCAAGGAATTCTTCAGACTTTTCAACACTATACAATACCTCTAAGTACTGATACAAGGATGCATTTTGGTTGAAAACGTATAATTTTAAGTTAAATATTACATTATCATAGCCCATAACTCCTCAACAATAGATTCATAAATGTATGTGTTACGATATTTAAGACTTTCTATGTACTATTTACACCCACTCAGAGAATGAATGTGGTTCTAAGTATGCAAGAGCATCCCAAGCTATGATTGTGTGCAGCTAAAGGTTGATCTCAGCATGATGCCTACGCCTTGGGCTTTCCTCCTGTGCTGCATAGTCACTCAGATCAATGCCTTCTTTGACTGTACTTCACAGGGTACAAGGTGTTTCCAGCAGACAGGAGACACACACAGCAGTCATACAAAAACAACCAACCTTGCCTCACATCTCAGACTAATCTCTGTGGAATCTCTGTGACAAGACTTCAACTCAGTCTGGAGCATTGAGTTTGGTTGTTTCTGTTTCTGTTCCTGAGGAAAATCCCATGGGATCAATCTGTAATTAAGAAAAAAATGCCCTCAAGCTTCGTATGGCAAAACAAATCAGAAATCATACAATGTGAATGCAAAATACATGAAAGAACAGCTGATCCAAAGATTGAAGCCTTAACGCCTTAACAGTGTGGGAAAGGGGAAAACTCCCAAAAATCTGGCACTGTCCTTCCACAAGGAATTTCACTATTTTTTCCCCTTGAAGTATAAACTACATTTACCTCTCTTACCCTCGTTACATTGTAAGGCCACAGTCTAATGTGCAGAAATGATCAAGATGTATTTGTCTTTGCCAAACATTTGCCTGTTTATGAAATAGGACATAATGTTTGCATGTATGTTTGTCTGGTTACTGATTCAGAGATACTTAAGACTGCAGTTCTACAACACTTAAAACCTAATGTCCTTTCCCTCAGCAATCCATGTTAAGAAAACTACCACGCAAACTGCTGCCTTTGAAATCAAAAAAAAGAAATCTGATTTTGCCTGCATGCAGTCCATGAATGTAAGCTATAAACAGGCTGTTTCAAATCCCTCATGAATGTGTTAACTAATGACTTTTTTCTCTCAGAACATTTGTGTAATTGAAGGTCTCAGAGTGCAACAGTGCTTTGATAGTTCTCACAGACAGCAGCACACACAGTGTTGTCTTGGGAGCTCTGCATGTGTGCATGTGTTTTGTGCATTCAGTGTATGACAAACAGCAAGGGGGATTAGGGGTGGAGAGAGGTGGTGTGTTCGTTTGTGTACATTTGGTGGGAGGAAGGTTTTGAACACTTTCCCTATTTACCTCAGTTAATTTATTTAAGGGTGGGGTTCATAAAACAAAATTACGAATGTATTCAACACGTAAACATAATTTAATTAAAGGGGCTGCATCATGTCATTCAGATGAAGTCATATTGTAAATTGTAAATTACCATTCATTGCGCAAACAAATGAACCGCTCAAAATGAACCGCTAAAAATGATGTGTTTCTCTCTCAACAAGAATTTATGGTATTTTTTGCACTGGCATTCCTTTTAAAGCAACCTGTTGTTTATTGTGCAGATTGCATCATCGGTCTTACAATTAGGCTCTCCCATCTGCAAATATTTATTGTATATTTAAAGGCATAGTGACTACAAAACAAGCCTTTAAAACACCTGTGAAAAATGAAGGTCATGTTGTCCCTATCTCTGCTTGTACAAGAGAAATGAATTTAAGTCATTGAAAGTGAGAAGTGTTACATGTCTGAATGCCTTTGCAGATGGTAATGTTGACTCTGGATGCCTAATGGAGCCCTGGCTCCTGCAGGCCACGAAACATCACTAGCACTAGGGCCATGTGGAATGTTGTCTGAAAAAAGAGTTTGAGATTTTTTCACAGTCCATTGTAAGCAATCAGGCAAATAGAAGCTTGCAGTTGAACAGTGCACAGGCATTTCTTTCCAGAAGGCAGGAAGCAATGCTCGGTCAACTGACGGGCGAGCCAGCAAACCGACAAGAAATCAGGACATACTCTCATAGCACTAACAGACGGTAACACCACCTGTGGGTCTCCTGAAGCCCACTTTTTGTCTCCTGAGTGTAATTGCTGCTGCATGCACATTCAATCTCCTCTACCGCTGGCAGCAAAGACTTGCAGATGCTCTCAACTCCAGGTGTACTTTTCAACACTGCATCTGCCTTGACGCTCACTCCGGAGCTGTACCCAAAAGCAGGAGGATGCTTATGATTTATTGACAAGGCTACAAGTGGTTTGAGTTTGAGCTGCTGGTGGACGAGGAAGGGTTTTTTCCTGTGTGGCGAGCTGTGGCATCTTCAGAATGTTGTCTATTTTTGTGGCATGTTTGGTATTTGTCCTGCTGGGCTCAGGGAAAGCCCAGGATGCCACACAGACTCAGGGACAGAGACAAAATCGGGGCCAGGGGCAGGAAGCTTCTGCCACTCCTTGGAGGCAGATGATTCAGTGGGAGAACAATGGTCGGGTATTTAGCCTGCTTAACAGTGGAGCTGAGTATGTCCCCGCTGGGGCAGGGGCCCGGGACAGAGGTTCCAGGGTGGTAGTGGCAGATTCTCGTTCACGCTCCTCTCGTAGACCCCAAGGTGGAAATGTCCGCCGACAGGCTCCATCAAGAGGATCCTCTGAGACTGTCCGGGGGCAGGCAAGGCATCCTTTTGGCTTCGGACAAGTGCCTGAAAACTGGAGACAAAGCGCTGGTAGCACAGGAGGAGGCCAGTTCCAAGGATCGTCTAACACTCACTTCAGGCCATCCACAGGCTCTTCATCCTCATCATCCTTTTCTTCTTCTTCTTCTTATAATGTACCATCCTACCAACAGAACCCATTTCCTCAACAGCCTCCCTTTCAACCAGTACCTTATGACCCTAGTTTTGTTGAAGGACCTGTCAGGAGCTATGAGCCACCTTTCCAGCCTGTTGTAGGTGGAGGATATGGTGGTGGAGGATACGGTGCTGGACAGGGGTACACTGGGGGAGGGTATGTCGGGGGTATTGCCCCAGTGCTCCCAGGCTCTCCCTCTGATTTTATAGACGATAGCTACCGCTACTACCAGTCATATGGCTATGCGCAGAATCCTGTGGTTCCTGCACGTGCTGCCCAGCCACAGCTTGCAGATGGTCTGGACCACAGATACACTCACAGTCTCTTCAACGGGGACTCTGGTCCGGTTGCCCCTGCTCCAGACCCCAATCAGGCCACCCCTGTGATAGTGGACAGGACAGGACTAGCTGCTCAACCACAAGTCAGGAGCCCTCAGTATGAGCAATTCCCCCCATTTGGAAGACCCCAGCCTCCATTTCTGCAGCCCATCCCTCCAGTTAGAAATTCTCCAAACTCTCCCAATGAGAACCCCATTACGAATGTTGGGAGTGTGTACAGACCAGAACAGAGAGGTACAGTAAGCTTTTTGTTTGGGTTTTGTGAACTTAAACAATGAATTCTTTAATTCTTTCCTTGTTCTGGAAGTTTACCCAGATCTTGATTATATCAGGAGATGCTGTGACACATATGTTGGATCAAAATAGATTTACAATAGACTTCTGTCTTTGATAAAGAACATGCCATGGGATTTTTGTTACCACTGGACATGAGAATTTGAAATATGCACACCACCCACTCAAGAACATCAAGTATGATCATTTTTGTCCAGTGTATTTATTTCATGTATTACAGATCTGAGGTAATCAGACTGAAACAGCTGCTACAAATCCACCCTCTTTTTCAGTTTACAAACAAAGCAAAGTGAACAAAAGTTTCATATTTTCCCACTTGTATGGTTATTGAAACCAGGTGTTGAGCAAGCCCTGCCAATGCACAGGGAGCACACAGAAACGTCTGTGTTTTTGAGGGGAGTTCTCTGCTATATAAAAGAGGACTGGTTCACAAGGTGTGTGGTGTTTGGTAATGGTGGTGGTGACCTCATAGAGGGGCTGCTGGCAGGGGGGTGTTGGTGGGCCATGGGTGCCTCATGGGCGTGAGGACACAAGAAGGGAAAACAAGGGAGGGGGATACTGTACTTCACTACTCTCTGAGGAGGAGGGAGAGCATGGAAAGTCCCTGTAACACATGGGGTCTATTGCTTAAGCGACAGGAAATCAAAAATATTTACTCAGAGTTCAGGAGAGAAGAATGATGAAGTCAAAATGTGCAGTACCCGGCTTAAAAAAATGTTTCTTTAACTTTTCAGAGGTTTTTTTTTGTACTCCATTTAAGCAATGTATTTTCACAACTTGACACTGTTCTAAAGGGGAATACATTTCTTACTGTTAATGATAAGAATAAAATGGCTTTTAATGCCAACAACCTGTGAAGTTTTTCAGTGTCTGGACTGCCAGAAAAAGCTTCTGGTCTGAGCTGTGAGAAGATGAGTACCTCCTGGAAGATTCATAGTCTTTAAGTAATGCAGGATTCTTTGTATTTTACTCAATAATCTAAATGTGCAGCAGTCTCTCTAGTGGGCTGTTTGTCTTATAACTTAATTCATTAGACACTCCAGAGCTGCAAACAGATTCTACAGCAAAAAGCCAACATGTGTGCAGATGCACAAGTTCTCGCAGTAATCATTGTGATAAAGATTCAGCATTTGGGGGCTATAGAACATCTGACATTTTTTATTTCTCTGCTTAAATAGCTGCACAAATAGCTGAGGGCAGGGTAAGCGTCAGTGTATTAGCTGGCAAGCTTAACCATCAGCAGCTTAATTATACAAATAACAATGATAACATTTAAAGCAATGAAACAATACTTGGAGCAGAGCCAATTCCCAGACAATGCTTTTAATGTGAAGTTGTTCAACAGACAATTTGTTTTCGGATAATAATTAAGGGTTAGAAGCACAGTCAGATTCACAAGGATGGTGGTCATAGCTTGGTATCTAAAAAAAAACAAAAAACAAGATTTATGTCTTTAGATTTTAAGTGGTCATAAGATACATCCTGACATCATATGTGCTAAGCTGAAGCAATAGATAACGCTTTTGGGTATGTTTTTTCAACTCACATTGGCTTTTAGAAAATGCTTTTTTGTTGAGAAATGATTTGTAATAAGAAAATTTCATCAAGCCTCATCCAAGAACAGAGACCAGAGCACCAATTTTACTATTAAGGAGAAGGTGTGCTCTTGAATATGAATTATTCACTTTATTATTTTGTATAATAAAGTATATAGTCTTTTGTATTTTTTCCCCTTGAGAACTCTCTAATTTGTATGACCAGGCAACCTGACAGAGAACAGAATAAGATCAACAATTAGTTCATCCTAAGAACAATTTAATTGGATGAATTCTGCAGGGAAAATCTCAGGAATTTTGCAGGACGATTGCTTCAAACAGAAAATGTTATGACATTTTAGTGTTACTGAAATAAATGTGTGTGTACTCAATTTGTCATCAAAAGTATAAAGGTTGACAATCTTGAATGTAGATGCGATAAACTAATAAGACTTTGTAGGGAGTATGAACTACATGAAACAGTGCTGATATGATGTTTCATTTTCAAACGACCTCAATTTATTTAAAATGGTCCAATCTGTCAGGTCTTTGCAACGTATTGCCTTTATCCTAAAGCAGTTCAGAGCAAGCCCTCATGTCTTTTATTGTGCCATATTAGATGCTATAAAATGCATGGCAAGATTCAGTTTCTTTTCTCTGTGCCCCACTTAGAGTGTAATGTGTGGCTTTGTCACATGCTGTCAAGAGCTGATCAGCTTTGACTTCTGAATACACTTTATCGCACTGAAGGAGACCCAATTTCACATTTCAAAAGATTAAGGGACAGAGAACAAAGCCGTCCTAGGGTGAGAAGAAAAAGTGGGGTTTTGAGAGCTGCGGTTCACACTGGTCTTACAGTGTTTACATGGTTTGCCTCAGGAAGTTTCCCCCTATTTCATAGGTCTGCCTCAGAGAGAGGGAGAGAGAGACACGGGGCCCCCAAAGGCAAAATAAGTACAGTATTTAAACTTGCTGCTTTGGGGGAATACACCTGGATGTTTAACACGGAAAATATAAAGTACAACACTTCCTTTCTGCTTTCCATAAATAGCTAAATCCCTTCATGCTAGTCCAAAATCTAAAGATAACATCTATTTTTCCAGTCCTTGGTTAAAGATTGATGCAACAGAATTTAAAGGTTGCACATCATTCATGTGGTTTAATGAAAGTTCCCAGGCTTAGATGTCAGATGGTTTGACTTTCACTTGCTTTAACAAGCTCAGATTAAAGTGTGTCTGGTCTTTGTGAGGCTAACAGAGAGGGGTGATAAGACCTCCACTCAGACATGTAAGGCCTGCTTTTCTTTTTTCTTTTCTTAAGTTTTTCTGACAGACTTGGCTCGTGGCCCACTTTGAAAAACAGCAATGATGTGAGATCACTGTTGTCTCTGTCTGGCTCTCTTGCTGTGTATCTGTACACCTTTGCCTCTATACCGCTCTTCATCCCTGACACTCGCAGAGAGCACAATATGAAAAACAGACACTGCCCTGCAACAAGCACCCCTGTGATACTCCAGCTTATATATTTCTGAGTTAAGCCTTATCCCCAAAAGATATGAGTAGTCATGTTACATTTGCTATGTTAAAGGTTTAGCTAAACTGACACATTCGTATTAAGAATGGTGTCAGGGAAGATCACATCAGATTAGGCCAAGAAGGCCAATCTTCATCAGTATAGAATATATCCCAAATGACAAGATGGATTTTGTGAGATGCAAATTGTATTCAACACTGGAAGTAAATATATTGCAAATGAAGCTATGTGAGTCTTAAAATGTAGGGGTGTTTAACACTTGAGCACAGGTAGCCATAATGCTCCCTATCCCCAAAACCTTCTCCTTTGTGAGGGGCGAAGCAGCCTCATAAGAAAACCATGACGATTATCTGGAATGGACAGTAATTGAAGGCCAATATCTCTCTAGAATGTAGAGTGACCTCCCCGTAAACCGCAGGCTCTGTTGCCCATCATATCCTCCATCAGCACCATCATGAATACCAAGTAATGAAAAAACTCATTATAGATATGAAAGAGCTCTTCTTTTTTTGGATGTTCCTGTGCAGTGTTAAGAAGGGCTGGAACTCTAGGAGATCAAAAGGTGACCTGACACAGATAAAACCATTAATGTTTGATTATTGAATTGAATCAATAGTGCTTTAAATGTAGTTTACCATCTTTAACAACACTGTTTTGATATGGTGTGTATTATAAACTTTGTGTTGAAAATGTTCAATAAGGACAATGTTCAGATTATTTAAGTAGTAACTCCTGTTTTCAGTACCTAGGGAAGATTTGTGAGCAAATATCAGTTACATGTCAAAACACAGGGTAAGCAGTGTGTTTTTCCTTTCAGGGTTACCTGACCTGGTTCCTGATCCCAACTATGTCCAAGCATCCACATATATCCAAAGAGCCCACATGTATTCTCTCCGCTGTGCTGCTGAAGAAAAATGTCTCTCAAGGTAAATTCATTCTGCTTGACCTCTATTTCCTTCATGGCTTTCTTTTTTTTTTCTTTTTCAATATTTCACTCATGTTTCTGGAGGGATCATTGTAATGTCAACCAATCAAAATCAATCTTTTCCCCCTGTATTGAAGTTAAGAGTTTTAATTTAAGCAACGCATTTTCATGTTAATGGTTTCTGCTGAATCTCTAATGCTTTATGGCTCAGTGATTAACACACACACAATGTTTCAATCCAGTTAATTGCAAACATTTAATTATTTCCTGTCTTATTGTAACTCTCTGACAGGCAGGTGTTCAAATTAATAATTAACAACAAATGAATGACTCTTTTAAATACAAAGTTAACACTATACTGGCCTCCCTCTTCCTGCTTGAAGCAATTTATCCAGCTAGCCAAACAATCGAACATGCTCAGAGAAGACTCTCAGACCGAAAAGTTGCATTGTCCTTAAGTTTACTGAGTGACATGAATTGACTGTGAAACTGCAACACAAATAGTTACAGAAGTATTAATGAATACAAGCTCTTGAACATAGATTGTCTTACAACCTAAATTACTATCACAAAAACTAAGGTAAGTAGAAATACATAGATGTAATCAAACAACATATGTAAAATGTACTGTATATCTTACTCTTAAATTTATGTAATTCTGCACATTATCCATGCTAAATCACTATAAACAGCAGCTAAACAAACAAATTGTTTAATATTCACAAAACGGCATAATACTTACGGATATGGTCTTCGATAGCTCCAAAAAAAACGAGAAGTCCTTCCAGTATACAGACAATGAGAAACAACTGCAGCACTGCCATGTGCTCATTTACTGAAAAACAAAAGTGAAACTTAACTTTAAAATAAAGTCGCATTTATACTCTGTGTCACTAGGCGGCAGTATAACGTCAAATGGCATAGAAACAGTCTTATGGCATAGAAATAGTCTTATGGCATAGTAAGGCCATGACAAACACTATATAGGTTGCTTCACCTTTGGGTACCATTAACCATCAAGTTACTGTACACCACTATACTGTATAAGGCAGCCTAAAGGAATACATTCCTTTGCAACAATAATTTATGATGAAAAAATGGACCCAAAGCACAACATAAATGAACTTAATCCTGCTCACCTTCAGGGATTCAAGTTAGTTTCATTTGTCTGTGTTGTCGGATATAGCATCCCCTGAGCCCCAGGCCTGGACCCTGTGACTGCCTCTGCACTAAGGACACTATTGAAATTACTGACAAGTGCACTCCCCATGGCTGCTCTTTTCTCCCCCCTCCCCATCACGAGCACATCTATCCTTCAAATCCCTTTCATATCCTGTCGGAGTTTGTAGCAATCACCGACAGATGGCCTGTTGTAATTTGTGGTACACTCCATTGTCAACAGCAGCCACAAGATGAATTGCTCCGATCTTCAGTGGTAGTGTGAACTCGAGGTTCTTTCGCACAAAAAAGGAAAGCGTGCAGCAGAATGTTCCCTCTGCCAATGTTTAAACAGTGTATTTGGGGAGCTGGTTGTAATCTGTAGATTGAATTATTTAGTAGATATGCTCCTGCCTCCAAGCCTTTTCAGCTCTCTTCTTCTTTCCTTTCCGTGTCTCAGATGTGAGAAACACACATTCCTAGATTCCTTTTGCCCTTTCCCTCACTGTTTTTTATCTTGATGAATGTGTTTGCCATCCAGCTCAGCCTATAGCCCCGAGACCACTGACTATGATGTAAGGGTCCTGCTGAGATTTCCACAGAGGGTGAAGAACAAGGGGACTGCTGACTTCATGCCTAACAGGCCGCGTCATACGTGGGAGTGGCACAGCTGTCATCAGTAAGTGCTTAATACAACACAGATTTGACTCAATCAGTAATTTATCCTTTATTAAATACACCATCAGTTGTTGCAGAAACCAAAGACCTAGTTAGCCATCATTATTATGTCTGTCTGATTTTATTCTTGTTGGGTGGTTTCATTTATGTAACTAATTACTGTTCACATTTGTTGGTATTTGTTCATCTCATTAACCATGATGCAAGGTTAGTGCAATATTATAAAATGGACTGATGGGCCTTTGGTTAAAGTTTTGATCTGATGGCTTGTTCTCAAATTTGTAAAATTCCCTGTTGTTTAGTTAAAGTGAAATTGCTCATAAACTTTAATTGATGATCGTGGTCAATTAAGGATGACGATAAAAAGCGCATTGTTGTGGTAAAATTAAAACTATTTTAAATTTGCTCTCTAGGTACTAGCATGTTAGTAAAGTCTTTGTTTATAAAAGAAAATAATGACCATCCTAATTCACATGCAAGGAAAAAACTATGTCTTAATGACTGTATTCCTATCTGAGAGATCGTCATGACCCCTGTAGCGGATTAGCTTCTTTTAATATATAACTCGGGGTACCATCCTTGTTAGGTAAGGAAACTAATATTACCTGTAGTAATTAATTAATCTATAAATCTGTCTCATATCATTGGGGTGAATTCTCAAGCAGTAAAACCATAAAATTACACAGACAAAGTACTGAAATTTTATATGGAAGTTTAATGAAGAAAAATTATGAACATAAAATGTTTAAAGGAAATGAATAGGCAAAGAATATAATTACGACAGTTGATTATGAGGCTTTGATTCGGATACGACAAGCTTGACTCAACACCCTAATCTCATAATCAGAACGCTTCCTTACTGGTGTCTAGTGTTCAATTGAACTCCACCGAATGGTGCCAAGGCTCCCCTTCGAATTTTTTCGGATCAGGAATGCCGGTGGCCCACGATAACCGCCGTAGCAGGTCGGAGTCGATAATGAGATGGGTTGAAAAAAAACACAGCGGTCCAATCAGTCGTCCCTGGGTCCGTCTCTCAGCGGCTAAAAGAGTCTTAATTAACGTTCGTCAGGATTGAACGATCATTGATCTTCACTTGACTTGAATGGTCACTTGTAGTCAAGTGTGAGAATAGACAAAATAATGTTCTAGAAGACGAATGATCAATACTTCAAAAAGGGAAAAAAAGCGGGTGCGGGTCTTAGGCAGTAGGAAAAAGAGCCTTAGGATGCGGGCATGAAGAATAAGGGGTATTTAAGTTGGAGTCCAGGTCTGCAGGTGCTGCGAGTCCAGGCTTAAATTTAAAGAGTTTCGCGTCTGCAAAACTTAAAGAAACAAAGTGGTTCGAAACAAGAATTAACAAGAGACGTCTAAGAGGGTGAAGAAAAACTTAAGAGAAGAATTTTCAAAGTGAGCAAACTCTTGAAAAACGAGAAAAACTTTTCCGCCTGTATGGGAATGAATACCAGCATTATGACATTCAACATTCTCAAAAACACATTAATATAGTATGAAAAGTATAAAATCATATCTTGAAATACTAAGTTTATAACTAGGGCAAAATCACATTAACATATCATAATTCGGTACAGCGCTCTTGCCACAGGGGGCAGTAGTGCTCCACGTAAGATTCAGAGAGGGTTCATCAGGTAATGTGATTTAATCCTTAAATATCTAAGTCCGTCATAGATGATCGTGGCGGAATCTAACTCACATGAAAGTGTTAGTCTTGATGTCATGAATATATATATCCGATTCAGGGACTGAACCAAAATTATTTTATGTCAGAAATGGATTATGTTGGTTAAAACAGTTTGTTCGACAGGTCTAAAGCTGTTAGGTCAGTTTGAGATGGAGTCCAAGTCACATTAAAGGCATCCCCTGCCATGTTGATTAACTCGGCAGACGGCTGTCTTCATGGGATTGTTTATTCTGAAGTTGTTCACACGTATCCAAGTGGTCTGGTTCACCAACGTAGATTAAAGGATTATTCCAAAAAGCTTTTTTTTTTTACGATGTCCTATCCTCACATTCCAATGCGTAGTCTCTTTCAAACAGTTAATCAAATGAATGGCTTTTGTTATCAGTAAACAGGAATAGTGGGGTTTTTTTTGTGTGTCCTGTGAGTTTGGGTTCACTTCAGGTCAATACGTTACACCCCACTATTCAATATCTTGGCCTAAACTGTAATACTATATTAACTTTTCATCTTCACAGGTAAAAACTGTCCTATACTAGCACTGTACATATTCGTAATGGTTCTTCAACCTGTTATGTACAACAAGGTTATAACATTATGATTGATTGTGTGGCTGTTGCTTTCTATTGATTCCATTGAAGGATACTTTCCTGCTTTATCAGTGAACACAGTGATTTCATTTGGCAGTTTGTTGATAAGGAATTGTTTGCACACACCTCTGATTAAAACCTGGAAGTAGCTTCTACACACACCAACTACGCTGGGTGAGTTGGATGTTCCACCGGCCAAAGAGCCCCAGTCGGCCTCATTATATCTATATAGACACCAGAAGAAGAAAACCCACAAGTTGTACCTTTCTGACTGTAAATCTTGAATAAAACAATTGGGGGCAGTTACAGTAAATCTCCAGTGATTGACTACACTACAAGCATGGCCTTGGTATTACCATTTAAAGGCTTAGGTTCATGGTGGGTTGTTAGTTGGTGAAGTTTTCAACAATATGTGCCTGTCAGGGGCAAAAGCAGGTACATTTGTGGTCTTAGTGTAAACGCTTGTAACTGCCCAAAATGTATCAGCCATTTGAGCCATGGCACAGGCGTTGGCAGAGAAATTCACCTTTGAGTTTTAGAACAGTACTGAGTGACAGTACTGAGTCTGTGCTCTATTGAGTTGATGTGGCTGAAGTCAACAGCATTTCATTGATGATTTGTTGTCAAATGCCCTATAAGATCTGTATTGAACCCTTAACTGTGATATTGCAAGAGAATACTAGTCATTGTAAACTGAGAGATTTCTCATGTATTACATTTCCTATCTTGCCTTTATCTCAGTTTCAGCAAGTCTGCTTGCTGACATCAGAGCCAAGCTCTGCTTTACTCCCCTCATCTTGGAGGAATGTTGACTGGCCTCTGAGATATGCAATGTTGTTGCTGTCAGACATCAGTCTGCATTTACACAGGAGTTCCCAGGAGGCACAAAGCCAAGACAATCATTCCATGGACTGTGTGATCAGAATGACAAATCAATCCATTTTTCTTGTCAATCTGACACTAGATAACAGAGCTGATAAAGTATGATGGCATGGATGTGGGTTACTGGGACAGGGTGTTTGTTAACAAATAAATCTCTAAAGGGGAACAAAGTCTCTTACTCATATTCTCAATATAAACTTTTCCTGCCCCACATTTTCATTGGATGAGCTGCGAAGTTGAGGCTTTTTCTCTTTATGAAGGTGAGGTGAATCCTCAGGAGAATTACTGGCTGTGAAAATTTAGGAATTTTTCCAAATTTTACAAAAAAGAAGACCCAGATTTCTATGGAAGCTTTTTTCACTCTGATCAGTTTTTTCTCACAAAGGTTGAACTTTATTAATGTAAACTTTGTGGTCAGAGATCAAGGCTGCTGTTTGCACAGGTGCTTGAATATGTCTTAATATCCTGGTTGCACTTCATTGAGGGCAAATGTCAAGACACTGCTAAATAGTTCTCAAAGAACCAACTACAGTTCTGTGAATTTTACAACCTGAGCTGTGATCAACAGACCCTCAACAGAAGTCTTGTTTGTTGCAACACAAGTGGAAAATAACTGAAAAACTATGAAGAAGGATTCAAATGTTTTGTATATTACTTGTACAAGTTATTCTTGTAAAACCCTGTGTGTCTTTCCAACACGACATTCTCTCAAGGTGACATAGTCAGAGAGGAGTTCCAGGAATCAAAGAAGGCAGGAGACCCTTACAGGCACTCTCAAGTCTTTTTCTCTGCTTCCTGCACAGATACTTTCAATTTTAAACACACACATAGACATAATGGATAATCATCTCAAGACTGCCATGAAAAGAATGCCAGTTTTTCAGGAACACAAACAAATACTGTACTTCAACCATGACTACAAACACTTGAAGAATTGCACAAAAGGCCGTTTACAGGCACATTTGCATGTGAATAGAGGCAGAAGAATATGAAAGGGGTGTTAAACCAAAGGTAAGACCAACTGGTTTCTACCTGAGAGACGCTCAAAACTGATTGCCTCTGAAATGGAATGAATGAGTCTCTGAACGGTCACTTTCTACGTCAGTGGAAAGTACCCACTTTTCTGTCCAAGTCATCCCTCAATCGTTAATGGCTGTTCCAGTAAAAGCTGCTGCTATGTCGAAACATGGGCCATGAAGTAAGGCCAAAGGGCAATATTTATATAGTCTGAGTGTGTCTGACTGTAAGAGATCCAGTGCTTACCTCACCTGCGGTAACTACTTAAGTCAACACCATTTAAGTGGCAATTTAAGAATCAAAATTAACAGCAATATGACAGCAGGATGAAAAAGTTCATGGTTGTGTGTTGTCTAAAAGATCTAATCTTTTTGTTAAATGTCCTAATGGTGTGTTTATGTGCAGAAGGAAATGAGGATGTTTACAAGCTTATGGCTGACTTTGTTCATATGACTGAGATTGTCTTTGTCTCTATCAACACTGTTTCTTGTTTAATTAGATACACTATATGTAGCTCATCGTGATGTGTGAGATTGCGTCAAGGTTGATTGACATTAGGTTCATTCATTAGTGTTTGTTGTTGTCGCCAGGGCTTTTGAATTTTATCATGGGTGTTATGAAACTAAATGTGTTTGGTTGTTTTTTAATATTAAAACAACAATCTTTTTGATTCAGTACAATGTCACAGCAAACAGGTTCTCCAAAATAACCACACAATTCAACCTCCTACTGTAATTTTTTTAGGTTTCCAGTTGACTTAAATGTGGTTAATAGATTTGAAATCACATGTCCAAAGAAAACTTACAACACTGCTATCTTAGATGATCAGGTTAGAAAACTTACTGCAGACATAAAAAACTTGAGCATTTGCCAAATGATGTCATGTTTCGAAACCTAACAGCCATGGCCAATGTTTATGACATGAAGTTAGCGGAAAGTAGTGGTGGGCGATATAACGATCTTAGATCGTGAAGGATTTTAACGTGCTGACGATCTGCCAAAGCAGAGAGATCGTAGAACCAGGCTAATGTGTTTATTCTATCATGCTGCAGTTTATGCTCCGACACAGACGCGTCTCCCCCTCCCCTTCTGCACTGCCGCGGTGAAAATGAAACTTAAGTCCGCAAAAACAACTCCATCTCGTTTATATGCAACTGTTCTGATAGTTTTCCAAACCGACACAGCGTGAGCAACAGTTAACTTATCCACATAGTTTGCACAGTTAAGTTTACATCTCAGATATCAACACAAGAAACCGTTTAACGAGCCAAAGAGACGAGAACAGTCTGCAGAGAGTCAGACAGAGCGGAGCTCAATCAGCGATGAGAGATATAACCCCGGTGTTTAAAATGTTGCTGTCAGTGTTTTCTGCTCTCTCTCGGTTTTTAAAAGTTTCTATCAAGCTTCTCCACCCGAAGCTCACCTGTTGTGATAACCGAATTCATAGGGATTACACTAAACGACGTTACGCGTTGTGTGCAGCAGCCAGGTGAGAGTGAGTAACCATGGTGACTGTCTGTCTGTCTGTCAATCAACGATGTCCCGCCCCCTCTATGAATTAAACTCTTCTTTCAGTAAAACTTACTTTGATCATGTGTCACAGAATAAACACTGTATTATCTGAAGTTAATCCAATGATGTCATAAAAAACATCAGAGGCGGGGCGCTGGTGGCGCAGTGGTTAGGGCGCGCGCCCCATGTATGGAGGCCGTAGCCTCAAGCGGGCGGCCCGGGTTCGACTCCGGCCTGTGGCTCCTCTCCCACATGTCATTCCCCTCTCTCTCCCTGATTTCTGACTCTATCCACTGTCCTATCTCTCAAGTAAAGGCACAAAAAGCCCAAAAATAAATCTTTCAAAAAAAAACAACAACAGAGGCTGCAGAGCCTGTATGAAGCCACAGCTGTAGGAATTCTGCAGGGCTAAATATAACAGAAACACAAGAACTTGAAGTCTACATGTTTTTAAATGAATGCATCACTGCGTGTTCCTGATGAACATAAAAAGAGGACACATAACTAAATCATAATTTCAAAGTGGTGAGGAAAACCTTCAAATTGTGCGTAAATGTTGATCAAATTGAGGGAAAGACATTTCTGTCGCTCAAGATGTTCTGGGTGAGACCTCCAGACCTCCTACAAAGATGTTTTTCAAATAGACTAAACTTGTCAGCACAGTTTTGTGCATTTAAAAACATTATACAGGGAAATAAGTTTGGTTGAACTGGTCAGTAACTTACAAATTAGTCTAAAGATCAGTATGAAAAAAATCGTGATAAAATCGTGATCGTGATTTTGGCAAAAACACCTCCAGCGGAAAGGTAAGTGTTATCACATTGAATGTGCAAATGTGGAAAAACAAATTCTTCAATTGCTTAGACTGTAGGCTGCAGTGCAGTGGCTAACCCTCTCGCCTCACAGCAACAAGCTTCTTGGTTTGACAAGGGCTTTTCTGTTTGGTGTTTTCATGTTCTTCTAGCTTCCTCCCAAAAACATGCTCCTTAGTTTAATGGTTAGCTCTAAATTCCCAGTGGGTGTGAGCATGAATTGTTTTTTGTCTCAATATGTAAGTCCGGTGACTGACTGGCAACCTTTCCAGCTTGGATACGTTTCAGCCCCACACGAGCCCTAGCAGAACAAGTGATATAATTAACAGATGTATACTTTGACTGCACTTTGTGATGTCATTCTATTTAGTGCAAATATGTTCTTGAAAAAAGTGATTAGCCGCCTGGGTCACTTTGACATTTGGGAGAAGTCCAAGACAAACACATGCATCAGTTTAATCTGCAGATGATTTTAAACGGAGCAGCTCATTGACACAGTCAGTCGCTGGAAGTCACTGGGTTCATATTCAGGTTCAGTTGTGATGATCAGTGGCCATGTGCACCCAGGCTTTCATAAGCTGCTAAAGCTGTGCAAACAAACACACTGCAACCATCACACAAGTACAAACGCTGCAACACACACAAGTACAAACGCTGCAACGCACGCACGCACGCACGCACACCTCTGATCTTGCAGACAGATACAAGCTAATTAACATCATTCATACATCATTAGGGTGATAATGTTGTGCTACAGCAATACTTTATTGTGGCCATTAATTAGTGTCCATTGTCCTTTGGTATTTTATGATGTGTTCAGTCAAGGTGCAACATCACTTAGAAGGATGTGAACATATGAGGTCAGTGGGTTGAATAACCAATGATATAAATTCTGTTGCATTTAAATGTGTGCTTTAACTTTAATAAGGTATTCCTTAAACAATGGCATTGTAATCACAACTTGCTTGGAGTTTTCTAAGGCATTTAATGCATAGCAGATCCCACTGGTGACTTTAAACTACTTGGGATACATCAAAGACGTTTGTTTCACTTTCAACTACATTCACAGTCTTTTGCTCGGTTTGACAGGCACTACCACAGTATGGATGAGTTCAGCCATTATGATTTGATCGAGGTCAGCACTGGGCGGAAAGTGGCAGAGGGACACAAGGCTAGCTTCTGTTTGGAGGACACCACCTGTGACTTTGGTCATCTGAAGCGCTACGCCTGCACTGCTCACACTCAGGTAACAGCCAATGAAAGACAAAATTATGACAAGCAGTTTTTGTCTTTGTGTGATGGTCAATTACGATCCTACGAACACTTCATTTCATTATCTCTTTTCTTAAAGACAAAGTCAATATCCATTCACTGTAGTTATGCTATGGTTTTCACTTGGTTCAAACCAAGTGAAAACTACAAAATCTCTTGTGTTTGTGTAATTAGTAACATATTTGTTACCATAGTCAGTTGTTGGGCCTTGTTTTTAGCTGCCTTTATTTATTTATTTTCAACTGTTTTCAACTCAGATCAATATTCCTTGTGAGTGTCTCTCCCCTGCTTTGTTTCCACAGGGTCTCAGTCCAGGCTGCTACGATACATACAATGCTGATATTGACTGCCAGTGGATCGATATCACAGACATCCAGCCTGGAAACTACATACTAAAGGTAGGAGTGAAGTGAGAATCCGGTGTGCTTGGACAAGGCCGGTTTGTGGACAGGACAGGATTCAGATATCAGGGAAGTACAGAGAGGTCAAGTTCACCCAAACAAATTGATCCTGGTTATAAAATAGTTAGTGAAGTTTTTAGGTTTCCAGAGCTTTGTGGAGGTATGTAAGATTGCAGCAGTTCATGACTGACTGGCACTTGTTTCACTTCTTATTGTTTTATTTTTTTAAACCCTCTGTGTGTGTGTGTGTGTGTGTGTGTGTGTGTGTGTGTGTGTGTGTGTGTGTGTGTGTGTGTGTGTGTGTGTGTGTGTGTGTGTGTGTGTGTGTGTGTGTGTGTGTGTGTGTGTGTGTGTGTGTGTGTGTTATTAACACCATTTTGAAACATAATTGGGCTCATTAGCTCTTTGTTGAGTTTTAATTATTGTGGTGAATTGTCATGTGCCCTCTGTTCTCTGTTTCTCAGCTCCAGGTTAATCCAAAGTTCTTGGTGCTTGAATCAGACTTTACCAACAATGTGGTCAGGTGTAATATACACTACACTGGACGATTTGTTACAACAACCAACTGCAAGATAGCACAGTAAGTAAGACAAGCTTTTATAACAGCAGTATGAGGCAGTGGGTTTGTTTTTTTTGCATTGCATTGCTCTCAAATTTGAATCTGGAAAACCTGAAAGTCTTCAGATTTTGTCTAAAGAGCAAACCACAAATCATTTTCTTACGGAGTTACACTGAACCACATGCCGGGTGGCCGCTTAGTGCGGTTTTATGAAGAGCCTCACTGTGTTTTGAATTACTTAGAGGACTTAATGGGTTCCTGGCTGAAATATTTGATGATATAATGAATGAGGTACTCATTCTCCAGTTAAGATTAATAACCTCTGAAACTTTGATATTTTCCCCTCAAAGGGAGATCTCAGGGAGTTGAACTTTTAAATAGCTCTATTAAGAAATGTATCATTGCTTTCAGAATTGCTATCATATCCTCTTAAAAGACTTTATATAGAGAGTAGATATACATGAGCAGAGCATCATTAGCTTCAAGTGCTCATGCCGGTCTCCCTTAGTTTCACTGGCAGAGTGAAACATACACTCTGAATATGTTTGACAAAGCATTTCCAGAGCTCATAAAAAGATGGATATAATGACTACTGATGCCAATAAATGAACTAAATCAGAAGATGTGATGAGTTCTAGTTCCATTATTAGTGTATGGATATTTGTATAGTTCCTTATTTGGAAATACCTCCCCTTACATCATACTAATGTTTATAATGATGTATGTCCAGTTTGTCCACACTAATATATCCTACTGCCCAATGTGGTACAATGATTGAATATTAGAAATCAGTCTTTCCATAAATATCAGATTATTAACATGATACCCTTTATGATTGCTCAAGAATGAGATACATTTTGAGTTGTAAAGAATAGTACGCAACCTTATTAGCTTAACGCTGCAGTTAGAGAAAATAACCTTGTTCACTTATGTAAGATTGCATGTCTTCATAGACTTGTGCATGTTTAAACCCCTTTACAAGATCCTCAGTTCAGAATTAGTCAGTGTGAGACATTGATGAGTGAGGCGTAGACATTTTAAAAACAATTAGTCTGGCTACCATTAGCTGAATTAGCTTGTTGGAGATCTTTTAGCAACAGTTGTGATTTAAGATGGCAATGATTTTTTTAAAACAGTTTTGATCAGTCCTAATGACTTTTGCCTTAAATTGTGGTCCTTTTGCTTTCATTATCTAATTTTTAAATCATGTATACAATAGTTGCAGTGCGAGAACATAAGGAGGGTTAACATTTAATTTATAGTTTGAGCAGTACTGACCAATAGTATACAACAGGCTTTGTCTGTAAGCGGGGGAAACAAGTGTTTATGGAAAACTAAGGAGGTGGAAAATGTCACCCAGAACCTTTTAGTCTGACAAAATATATTGACTTTGATGATTTTGATATGAATGCAGATTATAGTCAAAGATGAACAGCTAATAGAGGGTTCTTTCTCTGGATATCCAATATCAGCTATCTTGTTACCTGCTGGCTACACTAGAAACACTGAAATACTGGCAAAGATAAGAAGTAAAGCCTGATCATTATCAGATGATTGCAGTAATTTAAACACTTTAGTTGTCAACCAAAATTAGAGAATAAGAGGAAAAGGACATATTATTACATTTAACAAATTGAAACAGGAAACATATTTGTGAATGACGTTTTCTATCTTCAATAATGATTATTCTTTTGTTCGTTAGTTTACAATAATTAAAGATTTATATCGGCAGTAATACTGTTTGAAGCCAGTCAGGTAGTTCATTTTGTAGAGCATTTCTTATTGCATTCAAGTTTCATCCTACAAAAGTGACTTTTGTTGTGTGTTTTGCAGGTCATGATCAGGAACTGGAAAGCTGCCACGCTAGAGTGACCCTCATTGCTATTCCATTAAAATGTGAATGGAATCCATTTGTTGCTTTGTTGTAAGCTCATTGTCAGTGATGTTTGTCTCTACTATTTTGCGCTGACTCTGTATACTGGGTCCATGACAAACAATGGCTCCACTGGCACTGAAGAGAAAGAGGGTTTGAATTTGACACACACACTCTTTTGCACAATACATATTGCAAGTTGAAATCCCAGCCATGTCATCCCATCCCTGCAATCTAATTTACAACGTCTTACCCACTTCATTTCTCATATTCTAACTCCACCTGTCAAGTTAGGTTAATGTTAGCACATGTCATTGACTTTTTTGACATTTACTGTATCTGCAAAAAAACAAAACAATACATCTATGCACACCCCTGGCAGAGTGGCTCAGCTTGAACTATAAATAAAGCATGAAGTGGCAGCGTTGAGTTGAAAGAAGTTGTTCCAGACAAGTCAGGGTTCAGCTGCAATCCAACAACTAAAATTAGGGGACAGACTCTTTGCAGGTGCATTCATCCATACAGTGTGGGGACACACACAGATGCCCGGTGACTCAGAAGAACTATCAAACGTGTTAGATTTCGTTTAGTTTTTCTTCACTGCCTCAGCAGGTCAGGCCGGGGTACTGTGCTTCCCTGGACACATCTTTGTGTAATGTTAAATTAACGGCAAAAAAAAGGAAGACAGCAGGTCGTATTTGTATTTGTCAATGTCAACAAATTAAATGTCAACAAAGAGACAAGATGACTGCTCTTTTGAAGAATGCATTTATATTTTCTTGCTTGTCCCATTTGTCTCTTTTTCTAATTTCAGTCAATTCATAACAGCTATACTGGCAGAAAGGCTGCTAACCTGAAACGACCCACAATTCACTGTATGTGTCTGTTGTCCCCTGGCCCTTTTTTTTGTCTGACTACCAACACTGGTCACATGGTACATGTAAACCTTTTGAAGAATGTATAAACACATATTGATGCATGACCTTAAAGTTGTTCTTTTTTGTAACTGATTGTACTTTCTTTATCCAGATTGACTCTTACTGTTACTTGTGAAGCTCAATGATTTTATATAAATATATATATTCAGAATATGTTAACTTGAAATCAAATGATGGACTGAATTCAAAAAGGAATTAGCATCACAATGCAGAGCCTCAGAAAGCTGTCTTTACCTACCTCTCCTATGAGCTGTTGTTTCTTATGAGCTGTTTGGTTTCTAGAAGAACTCCTTCACTAGTTCACTGTGGACTCCTCTCACTCAGAGGCAGGGCACAGCTTAAACCTGCAAATTTCTTAAATTAGTAAAAAAAAAAAAATTTTAAAAAGCACAGGGTAAGGGAAGCAAAGCAAAGACATTTAACTCATTTCAGTTTTAGCAGATTTCAGTCTTGGTTGATTTGATAACACTTATTGCTGCAGGTATTTCTACTGTACTTCATTTTCCCTTGAGGGGAAACGTAATCAGCGGCAATGCAGAAAATTGATGTCTCCGTTTCCAGAGACACCAAACAAATTCACATTTGTTGAAGAAGTTGATCAATAGCTTGTCCTCTTACATCATTCCATTGGATACTGCCTTGGGATTTAATAGTTTATACGGGGCAAGACGTTTTCCAAACAACAACAGGGCACATAAACAGGAGTTAGTTATATTGCTGAGCAGTTGTGCAGCCTGCAGCTCACTGACTGGACCTTCTTGTTTTAGTTACCCCTGTAATATTTCAAACTGATCAAAAAGAACACACGTTTAATAACTATGGTAGAAAAATACTTACCGTATAGAGTATTAAATATGGGGGTTTATTACATAACGATCCTAGGGACTGTACCTTCGATATCTAAAAGTGCAATTGATGACGTTTAAGTTTTTGCTGTACAAAACTCTGGTTTCCACCTATGAATCAATCGTGCATCAGAAGTAGTTTGTTACTGATAAAAATGATTCTGTAACTCTGCATTTCATCTACATTTCATTTCTTAAGAGTGCTTTAAATGAAGAGCAGCCCAGTCTTTGCTGTCTTACTCAATGTATGACTTGTGTGAGGGATGCATTTTTTAAATGTACTGTTCTTTAAATCGGTCAGTATTTTATTTTTGACTTTGGTTGCTTACGATCACGCTGTTTGATTACTGGAAAACCGACATGTAATTCTGACATTCAGCAGAACAACAGCACAAGAGTAGGTGAGAATTATACAACATCTTCGACATGTGCTGATGAAATTTGTATTTTCTGACGGTGAACACCTGTCAAAAATGTCATATACAATAAATACATTTACACCTCTGCTGTGCGCTCTGAATGGAATATGCATGCCCTGCACCACAAGTGTCGATCATATGAGCCCAATCTGCAGGTTTACACCGAATAGGGGATCAGCAGATTCAAAGGAAATTCTGTGTGACAGATAAGACAACTTTCTGAATCCATCCCCTTCATAGAAGATTAGGTGTGATTCATTTAATGTATTAAGGTATTTTCCTCAGTACCGTATGTTATTTTGTTATGCATGATTCAGGCAGAGATGGAAATTTGACCTTTACAAATACAGAAAACACTGAATACAAGATGCCTCCAAACACCTAACAGTGAATGCAACATCTGGGTGCTGGTGATTTGCATAAATAAATCAGTCACACTAGTTTTCAATCTTACCTGTTGATGTGATGTCACGGGGGGGAAAAATATGATTCAGTCATATTTCAATCAGTGTCACAAACTGTCACCAGGCAACATAAGCCTGCTCTTCAGATGTGTTTTATTGATGGTGATATGACCATTGATCATATTATGTGTAAGGAGGCATTTTATGGAACAAAACAGAATGTTTCAACAGCAAGAGAGTCCCTTATGTTACCAAAGCTCTTTGGCTGGACATAAACAAATCATATTTTATTTATGTACAGTATGTAATTGCATAAATTGTAATTTGAAATGGGAATGTTTACTTTAAAAAATTTAAATGTGACTAATCTTTTAACAGAAAACCATTCACGTGATCATAGATTACAAGCTGTAAAGAAATACTGTGCTTGATAGAAAAACAATAAGAGGGGAAAAAAAGAGAAGAGGTACGGATGTTTGGAAACAACATTAGATAAAATTGTTGGAGATAAATGAATATGTGATTTCTTTAATCTCACTCATTCGTGAGCCAATATGAACAACAGGTCTGTTAGATAACTTTGTTAAATATGTTTGGTTTTAAAAACACAAAAAAATTCCCGGTGTTAGAATTTCCTGTCCTTATTATGAGAATCAAATGTGTGCTTGTTTTCATGTGCTGGTCTCACTCAAGTATTTTGTCGGTCCTAACAAAACCCTGACCCCCTGTGATGGGACTTCCTCCTCTGCGCAGGCTGTTTGTTCAGGCCTCTTATACTCAATCAGCCCAGCTCTCTGTGCCACTCTTGTGTTTTGTGTAGTGCTGCAGTACATGCTGACATTTATTCAACTTTGACTTTGTAGAAAATTGATTCATGTTTGTGTTTGTGAGACAGATATTCAGAGGGATAGAGATGGATAACTCTTCATGAGAAGCCAAATGAGCCAATGAAATATTTTCTTAAAGTTTTTTTTTTCTGAAAAGATGAGTCAGAGTTTGCCTCTTCTGTTTTAAAGCCTCCCTGTTGTATTTTTCATGTCCCTGTTTTTGCTCCTATGTTTTCTCATGCAGCTGCTGGTTAAGTAGCTTAAATGCAGCCTTGTTTCCATTTCACTGTGGGGTATCGGCTCTAATGCACAATGTCCACCAATGAGCCTCTGTTACAGTGCCGGCTTGTGGTAATGAAAAGGACATACTGCAGCATTTTCACAACAGCAACGTCTGCAATGACCATGAAAGCATTTGAGTTTGAAAATGATTTAGCCCCGTTTTTCTTGCAACAAATGAATATGCAATTGTATTTATCAGGAATGTGCTAGAGGGGGTTTCCCGAGTGAATCCAAACAGTGTGAGATTCAGAGCAGAGCACATAAAAATATCCTGAGGGGTGTGCAGAACAAAATCCAGCAGACACATGCTGTATGGCTGAGATAATACATGATGCACAATGCCAGAGATGCCACCACAAGCATGGAAGTGAGAAACAAGAACAGGAAGAGCCGGGCGGGAAGAATTAGCAAAACTTCCTGCGTGTAGCATGAGGAAGTGTTTGTCTAAATGGTCAGAGCAGCTTGTCAGATTCTGCTGTGCGATGATACTGATCAGCTAACAGGATGTGGGGCGTCATTGCTCTCTCTGATCCAAGAGGTATGCCAGGATAAGATGTTATGCATCTTACAACATTTGCCTCATTGGGGAATCAAGCAACATAAAGAACATAAAGTGTGTAAGCCCTGCTGGCATTTTATCAGAAAAATCTGCAAAGAAAGTGTGGTGGTATCCTGAAAAAAGGGGAACCTCTGAACTGCACAGAGATGTGGTTGTACCATGATAAGAGCAAACCCATTACATATGTAAATACACTGCTTTGGGCAGCAAAATGTTATGTCTGATCATTGATAAGCTGAAGATCTGTAGGGAGAGCTCTAACAACCCCCAAGACAAATATTTCCCCTTACAAAAGGCCACATTTACTTCACCAGCAAACCTATGTAAAGCAACAAGCCTTTCGTGAGTAAACCTAATTGAGGAAACAGATCGAGTGAAGTGAAGCAGGACTGATTAGATCTTCCAGCATCTTCAGTGGCGAGACGGCATCGAATACACAAAAACCCTGCAGGAACGGAAACCGTGGTTGTAATGCTGCGGATGATTTAAATAGAGGAAACACCTTTTTCAGGGTATGGAGTTGTCAGTCATGACCAAATGAGGGCTGGATATTGTGAATGTTCTTCGGCTTTTATCTCTTGCATTTCTAGTAAAGCAGGATGACAGTGGGCAATTAGCTGCCTGCACAGTGATGAAGCTAAAAGAGCACAAACCCTGGGCATCTGTGATGGTTGCAGGCAGGTTTAGGAAAGTGTTATGTCTGTGATGACAACTTTGACCTACAATTTTCTACTGAGACTGTGCTGCCACTCTCCAACATTTATCACATCTTTGTTAAAATGTAATCACAGATCCAAATGATTACTTTAATAGAATAAAATAAATGAATAAATATTTTTATCTTGAACAACTCCAGCATTCCCCTTTTAATCGTTCTTGTCAAGTTCTGTGTTTTTGTGACCACAACTCTGCCCAAACTTGAAAAACTGCTTGATCAACTGCTGAAGGATGCAAAGGACAACTCAATTCTCCTCATAATTTGATTTTCATTTTCTTGAAGATGGTTTTGGGTTTGATGGTTTCAATGGATGTAAACAGAATGATGGAATATGAGGGAATTGAACAAGTTGATAACCTTCAAGATAAACAGAAAAGACATGCATTAGTCTCAAATAAATTCTAATAAACATTTTCTCTCAAAGTTTTCCTAAAGAATACATTTTCCCGTTACTTGGTTCTCAAACAAACAATATTTCAACAAAATACATAAGCTTAAATTAGCATAACCAAAATTGTCCAACTTAAACTGCATTTTTACTCACTAACTCAACCAAACAGTCATGAAGAAGCATGACCTCAACACATCATCCACATTCAAAGTTGTTTTTCCTCCCAGTTGCATCTTCTGATCGATCAGGAGTTGTGGTCGTGCCCTGTTTCCAGGGGCAGGTGAGAGGGCCAACTGAGCTATCTCCATGCTTTACCATTGGGTGCGCAGGTGAATATGGTCCCTCTAGGAGCACTTTCCAAGATTTTGGGTTCCACCAACTTATTTTGCATGTGGTCGCCCTCTGCAGGTTTGGAGTGCATCAGAGTGTGAATGTGCTCTTGTGAATCAATTGGGATTTGACACTACAAAAACAAAATTGAATGGCATTCCTACAACGAATAATATAGTCCATTTTATTTTCTATTTTATTTTTGCAGTCATGTGGATCTTAATCAGAAGTTTTTTTGTGACACTGATGACAAGGTGACAACAATCAGCTTCATTAGTTTTTCGCCTCAGACCCCGTTCTATTTTGAATTTTAGCCACAGTGTGTGTGTCAGTTCATGGCGAGGTCACATTATGAGGGAGTGTTTGTACTCAAACAATCGTTATTAGGCCCTACTTGTTTTTAATCAGTCTTTTTGTCAAGGGCGCTTTGCCTCAATAATCTGCTTGTAGTTTTTGCTTTAATTAAAGTTGCAGTGAATACATACATTTTCTAAACAGTTTGGACAGTCTCAAAGCCAGTTTTGTATTTATAACGGCTATCTAGAAGATTTGTGTTTGTAATCTTAAAAAGACATCCTTTCAGAGCTGAGTGATCAGCTTAGCCTACCGCCAGACTCCCTGAAAAGCAGAGTTGCAAAGTTTTCATGTACATTTTGTATACCCCGGCCCCATATCAATTATTTACTCAGTCCATCCTGATTTAACAAGCTGCCTTTAAATAAGACATGGCTTTAAAACATAATGGGAGACCTCAATTATTTTTTCATTTAGCAGGTTTATGTGAGGATAATTGAATTAAGTGGTAAAGAGAATAGAGACTAGTCTGTGAGTCGACATTGCCAAAAGCCCACCTCCAGTCTTGAGGTATAATTTCTGCAGAGCCTACTGTGTAGAGATTCTGTGGCACCGTATCAAGGCCACAGGTAATTCATCTTCTGGCTCCAGCTCTGCTTTGCGACCTAATTAAATGAATAAAGATGTGAAGAAATCTTCATTTCCGTAGGGATAAACACATTGCTGCATGGGAGAGGTAAGAGGAAAAGCTGGCTTTGTAAAGGATGAATAAAGGCAGATGAAGATGAAGCCACTGGCTTGGAGAAAGTCACTGGCTGAGGACATTTGAATAGTGAAGGGAAAAACACAGTGCTCTGGTTTACTTGCAGCTGCAGTTGCTGGCTCATTTGTTCTGATAATAGCTCATCGTGTGCATACTTTATGCAGAGCTGACTCCACCATATATATGTCTGAGTTAACAAACATCTCACTTCTTGTGTTAACACTCCACATCGAAAGCGATGGGCGTTACACAAGACAAAGGAGAAGCTTATGTCATAGAGGGAAGACACACTTGAGTGCACTGCTGACAGTTTAAATACTGCCTGCCTCATCACTGAAACATCTGGCTTCTATTTGGTGTCGGCTGCAAAAAACACTCAAAAAAATGCTTTTTTCTTACAACTTAGCTCCCTCACTTTCCCCCAGCAGCCTCTACCATCAGTGTGTGAGTGTGTAGGTGTGACCTGCGGAGTAAAATCTCTTTGAGTAGTCAGAAGACTAGAAAAGTGATTTTCCAATTTACTTAAAGGGGCTCTGACGGTTAGAATATCACTCTTAGTAAGATCACAGCCCCTCTTAGTCCTCCCCTCCTCGTGGTGGATGGGCGGGGGGAAAAGGAAGTATGAATAATATCACTTTCCTCACCTCCCCCATCAAGCCAATGAGCCAACGGTAAAGCAGGCTTCGACACATTTTTTCTGTTTGAGTGAATGAAAATTATCCCAGTGATCAAAGTCAGCGACCTCAAACTTTGTGTGGGCTGGTGACTCTTAAAACAGTTCAGCTCCAAATTTAAGCTGTCTCTTTTTTTACAGCCTGGTGTTGTTTCTATAACTCATCTGCATGAGGCTGAGAGTTATTCTACATTTGCATAATAAGGTAAGTGGCTGATTTGATGGAGCTGTTTGCCTGGAGCTGATCCCAGCTGTCATTGGGCGAGAGGCGGGGTTACACTCTGGACTGGTCACCAGCCAATCACAGGGCTGACATTTAGAGACAGACAACCAGCTACACTCACTTTCACACCTACAGACAATTTAGAATCAGCAGTTAACCTAACAAGCATGTCTTTGGACTGTGGGAGGAAGCCGGAGTACGCGGAGAGAACCCACGTATGTATGAGGAGAACATGCAGACTCCACACAGAGAGACTCCTGTCAGACAGGGATTCAAACCAGTAACCTCCACACAGAGAGACTCCTGTCAGAAGGGGTTTCAAACCAGTAACCTCTACACAGAGACTCCTGACAGATGGGGATTCAAACCAGTAACCTCCACACAGAGAGACTCCTGACAGACGGGGATTCAAACCAGGAACCTCCTCACTGTGAGGCGACAGCGCTAACCACCGTGCAGCCCGTCGTTTATTCATGTGTATTTAAATGATCTTTGACTCGTTTGTAGTCCTGTTTACCCATTAACACGTGATGTTTACTGTTTGTTCAACTAAATGTTTGAACTTATATGTGTGAGCGATGGGAAACCCCTAAACAACCTCCAGGGGATGAATGAAGAATCTTTCTAAAGGCCCGCCTTAACGCTGCCTCTTTTACCCGTTTCTAGATTGATTAAAGGTTAACTCTCTGATCCAGGTCTATACTTCCTCCCGCCCACTACGCTCTGCCAATGAAAGGTGTCTGATCGAGCCTTCACAACAGGGTCCTAAGACGCTGCTTGTGCATGAATCATTGACCGTTCAGAAAGCACACCTCTCCAAACTGTGTCAGGGCTAAGGCAGGTACGAGCACTCACACCAGTCAAACAAACTGGACTTTGGGGCTCAAACGTTTGGCTACAGTACGGATCGCTTAGTGTGAGTGCGCCCTGAGTGCGTACCAACACTCGCAAGAAACAGATGAACGAACGCTGCACCGGGAACATAAAGAACAGAGTGATGAAACATTCACTTTGTACGTATTGAGGGAACTATTTTGGACACATTGTTTTCCTTTTTTTGACTTTTAACAGTGCAGCAGGCCAGGTCCAGGTCTACACTCCCAGGTTCCTGCCTCCATCTCCGAGTTCTCCTCGATCATCTTCAGGACGTCTAAGCTGATCCCGGTGCTGTCGGCGACGCACTGTGGAGTAACACAGACATTTGAGCTCCACATGACTTCAAATAACACATGTGGAACTTTATCATTCATGTGGAGGCGGAGCAATAACATAGAACACCTTTTTCTGGCTCGTGGCTTCTGGCCTTACAATAAACTACAAATACACCAGCCAGTACCAGGAGGTAAACGTTTAAAATAATTCTCTACACATGAAATAAAACAGCAGCTTTGGTTTGAACAGCACATCAGAGATCATGCGTCTCTGAGTCTATACGCACGGCGTGTGTTTGTCAGGACACTTTTCAGAAAACATATTTATATTTTCATTTCATTGTACAGTGTTCCCCTTTGTTATATTTTGTATTACATATTTGCTTTAATACAGTGTATAGCTTCTGTACAGTTTATTTTAATTTACTTAGCTGTTACTACAACGTATTATTTTTTTTTTTATTTGTACTTTTCTAATCTTTTTTTCTTATAATGCTATTCTGTTTTATATATAATTTGAACTTTTTTGTAGAAGCTGACTCAGGGAGAAACACAAAAATTCCAATGTACCTGTGCTGTCCTGTACCTGTGCAAATGGCAATAAACATCTATTCTATTCTATTCTTTTCTCCCGACAGCAGAAGGAGCTGAGGGCGGCAGATAAACAAAGTAGAAACAAAGCAGCTGTAATCAAATTCCCTCCCCACGTTCCTCAGATTTCTTCTCATGAGAAGTGGATTGGAGGTGAGGTCACTGTAACCTTTGTCCACCTCCAGTCCAATCTGTCCATCCTTGAGCCCAAAAGTTCCCAAACTCTTAAGATTTCATGTTTTTTTTTTCCTTTGACCTCACGTACTGCTCTGGGCCTGTTGACTTGGCCGCCCGTGCTGCCGCCTTTAAATGGAGAGTTGGTAAAGATGTTGTGAAAGTCCTTCACCCTGTAGACACACACAGCGCTCATCCCCCTGCAGAGAGAGAGACACAGAGGTCAGCTAGTTTTTTTTTACTGACTCATCTGCAACAACAAGGAAGTGCCGGGAGGTCAGAGCAGATCTTAGACGTGCTGGTTTTAAAAAAAAACACAGCTGAGCAGACGGGTACTAAAGTTAACTTTAAAAAAAGACTGAAGAGGAAGCATAAACAAGGTGAGAGAAGTAACTGAGTTCTGTCTGTTCTTCTTTTGTCATCAATGCTAAACCGAGATAAATAACCGTCAAATCATCAGTCAGCAGTTAAACAAGGGTTTGAGGTCACTAAAAGGCTGAACGTGCATACACAGAAATATAGCAGAGATCAAGTATATCCTCTGAAAATAACTCTGTGAGTCATGACTGTCTACAATGGGTGTAACACCCGAGTCCCACTGTCTGTGATGTTTTCAGAGTTTTCAGAGTCCTATCTTCAGTTTGTTTATATCGCCAGGACAGCGGCTGAGTCCTCCCCTCACGTATAAAAGTTGTTTAATTGAGGGACTAGAGAAAAGAAGAATAACATACTGTACTCACTGCTTAACTGTGTTTCTAGATCACGTTAATTTCGGGTAAATTTACATGCAGTGTGAAGATACGAACATAATAAAGAGCTAGCATTAGCATGCTAACACAACAACGCAGCGCGAGATGTTTTGGTTTCATGGTGGTGCTCAAGGGCGATATCAAAAAGTCTTATATTCTTCCTTTAATGTGGTTAAATGTGAACAGGTAAGAGTGACTCTGCTGTGTTATACAAAGACAAAAACAACGGCGTTGGCTTAAATCACTGTGACACACTTTTAATGTCCTGATGCTAAAAAAAGCTAAAGCAGAAATGCGAGTAAATCCTGAGAAATAAATCAAAGATGAGAGTCTCTTCAATGACTCAGAGTTCAGTCCAACAGTTTGCTCACGCTGTCTGGAGCTGGCGACGCACAAGACGATTTTCAGATCTTTTCAGACGATTTTTAAAAAGTGGAGACCACAGAGACACGGGGACGGTTTGACCGATGTTTAACATTATAGACAAGAGATCTCAGAAGATAAACAAACATGGAGGACGATGGCACTGACAAAGTTACATAGTGCTGAAAACAAGGTGAGCGGGGCGCTCTGTGGACATGAGAGAGACGCCATTCTCCCTGTTGGAGGTTATTGTTCTATTAGATCAACTTTGAGACTACTGTTTGAAGGAGAAGGAGTTACAGGTTTTTGCTTTAACAGCCAGTAAGAGGGTTATTATGTATTTGGGTTCAGATCCACTTCAGGACTATGCTGTGGCGTGATGTGTGATCCCTCTCAGTATCCATCCTTGTTTGACAACATGAAGGATATGAAGTCTTACCATTCATTCTTGAAGAGTGCATAAACCCTGGAGTCCTGCCAGCGCTCTGTGCGCACAGCAGCCACGTGGACCAGCTCAGAGAAGTGCTGCTTGCTGTCTGGATCTCCGCAGAAGAGCCTGGCGTTCATCTGCGACGTCCAGATATACTGCATGTGTCTCTTGGGACCGCCCCTGTCTGCCTAAAGCAAGCCACAGCCACACTGTCAATCACTCCTGAGCACAGGTTACATATAGTGGAGTCCTTGTTTACAGCGGGTGTACTTTGTGCACCAATGGATGCTACAACTTTGTTTTAAAGGATTCAAACCATCGAAAATGTTGATGCCTCTTATTCAATCTTTACCATGCAAACCTGTGAGACGAAGGGGAGCCACATTCCGCTGTACAGGTCTGAGTCTCTGTTTTTCTCCTTGTAAAAGGCAAACACTTTATTCTGCAAAGGGTCTTCTGCCTGTCTGATGATCACCAGACCCACATAGTGCTGCTCCGTGACACAGAGGAGACAGAAGTCAGGGACATGGGACCTTTTCAGCAAACTCCACAGACAGATAAATCAGCAGTAATACGACTTTGCAACAGCTTTCACACCGAGGGAGATGTTCAAAGATCTTAACGACAAAGTGAAGAAACATGAGAATAAAACACAATAGGTTCTGCAAGATAAAGATGAAGAATCCAAACTCCAGAACAGGAATAAGAAGAACGACACACTGTATGAGTAAGAGTCTGCATGTTTAACTAAAAACACTTCACTTCACTTACAGCTTTAATAAAGGAGGACCATAAAGTTCTTAGAACCAATTTATCGCCATGCAAATACCTTTATTATGGTTCGCTGGTCCTACACGGTTTGTCCCAAACTTGTGGACGTCAACATTCTCCTGAGATCCAGAGTAGGTCGTGTAAAGGTGAGCAATGAGCAATGGTAGAAAGAAGAAGAAGAAATCATTAGAGAGTGTTGAACTGAACGAAGAGGGTTCGTAGAGTTTAGAGAGACAGAGTCTTTCTCCTTCAAAATAAAATACAGACTTCTCCTAAAGTAAAGACAGAGTGAGCAGCTTTCTCCTTCAAAATAAAATTCAGACTTCTCCTAAAGTGAAGCTGCTCCATCGTCCCTTCTGGGCCTCCATACATGTGTGGTGGTGACTGTGTCTGCAGAGACTCTGTCCTCTGACTGGATTTTACTGTTCTGCTTTGTTCTGGTTGACTCTGGACATTTATGGGTGGGGCTGGTGTGTTTCCTCCAGCCAATGACAGCGCAGCAGATGAGTTTAGGAGTGGATACAATTCAGTGATTGGATGAGATTCAAACCGGTGAATATGACGGACGTGGACGTAGCAGCAAAGAAGAGAAAATATAATCAGATTGAGGGGAACCACCAAGCGGCTAAAGCTCGTTCTAAAACGAGGGTGAACCTTGTGTTCTCTTTTACCTGTGGACGTGGAGTTGGTCTACTTCCTGTTGGACAGGCAGGTGACAAACACCGGCGGTTAGGTGGAAACTTTCCATGGGAATTCACGGGAATTTATGGGAATAAACGGGAAAAAAACAGGAATTTACTAAATTGATGATTGGCCCTTAACAGGTAACTTAAATATAGTTGGGGAAAATATATTTTAGCATAATCTTGACTAAATAAACCAGATTTCATGCACGTACACTTGAATATATTTCCTCAATCACATGCACATAGCACAATGCTTACTGCAGGGCTATTGAGGCCACGCCCCCTGCATGCAAAATGTTTATATCTATGCTTTGATATGATACAGCTTGATTAAATGACCATCAATTTCCAGTTAATTCCCAGAAATTACCATTAATTACCATAAATTCCCATAATTCCCATTGAAAGTTTCTGGAAATTTACCAGAAATTAACTGGAAATTTTCCACCCCTTTTCAACCCTATCGGTGAGCCCAGGAGGAGGGGCCCAGTTTAAATGTCGTGTTTACAAGAAAACAAACATTTCTACTGACTCTAACGTTTAAAAGAGCGTAAAAGTTCAGCAAATATGTAAAGGAAAGGAAAAGTACCCCCTGACGACAAACCAGCTAATCAGGAAGCAAAGACACACATGCAGGAAATAAAGTAATCCGTCAAAACTCACCCACAAAAACAGACGGTTCACCTTCCTTCATGATGAATTGTCTGATACTTCCTTGTATGCTCCTCATTTTTTCAGAGGTACGGCACACGAGAGAAGGATCTGATAGAATCTATGAGAACACAAAGGAGACCTGTAAGAATTACCGCTGCACAAAGGAGAAGTGACTGTTCAGTGTAAACGATTCATTAAAGATCTTACATTTGGAGATGGACGATAAGAAAAGAGACGTTAAGATGGAGTCGAGCGCCAAAATACTCCAAGAAGATAAAACATACAGAGCATCAAATATGAGAAATATAAAATATAGAGCGGGTTAACAACCGGGCCTCACAGAATCACAGTCCAAGGACTTTAACTGTATTTAAGTCATCTACATGAGTGTGCACGCTCACAGATACATCACATATGAAATCTTTTCCATCCATTCTCAGTCTCCAGTCACTGTGTTTTTGAGTCGGCAGCGTCCTACAACTTCACCGCACAAAGTCTCCCTGCCGTTGGTCCCACACACATACGCCTGGTTGCCCTCTTCCCTCTTGTGCACCGCCGTGAAGTTAAAGTTACAATCCTAGAACACAAGAGAGACTTCCATCAGATCTGACCGACGCACCAAATGTTCTGCTGCCGTGTTGTTTTGATGCTCACTGTGGTCGACGTTCCACCGACGATGCAATCTTTCCACGTTTGTCATTTGAGAACAGGCTGCTGCTGCACTTCTGAGATAGACTAAAATAATGACTTTATTCTTTAAAGGCTTTAAAGGGTTCTCCGCTCATCATTTTCTCGCAGGCTGGTCTCGAACTCGTTAATTTATTTAATTTATTTTCTGCTCTCCTTTGTTTGCAGAATGGAGGTGATGTTACCAGCTGCAGGATGCTCAAATGTCCAGCAGAGGGCGCTGTAGGTTTGTAGCTTTTCTTGTTTTAAACAGATGAAGCACAAACCTTCTCTCCTTGTGGATCACTGACAGTCAGAACACCGTTTTAAAAAGGATTTGAACCCCTTTGTGAGTTTTTAATCGGACTCCATGAGAACCTTTAGCTTTCATACTTGATGCTTCATAAAGGAACGACAAACGGGGATTAAATACAGAAATCAACCAATAATTAACATTATTAACGACCAAATAAGAAGGTGAATATAGAAAATTATTTAGTTTTTCTTCTTTTGTTATCCATTCCTTCAGTATCTCTTTTTGTGTTTGTAACTTTTTATTAAAATTTTGACGTAGAACAGGAATGCATAGATTTGATATGCAGTAATAAGTAACCTCTAAAAATCAATCCTTCCATTTTCTATACCGCCTATCCTGTTCAGGGTGGTGGGGGCCAGAGGCTCTACCAAGCAGAAACCTCCAGTGTTGAAAAATGAAGTCGATGCTGAAGTGTAAAATCCTGCAGTTCCTCGAGTGTCCACTAGAGGCTGGCTGCAGAAGCACAGGAAGTCACATACACACCCATTCTAAAAAGCCTGTTTTTACAGCAGAGATTAACATGTTTACAGCCTGGTTCAAAAAAACCAAATAGGTGTGATTAGCTCATGTCTCGATCGACACACACTGTACGGGGGGGTGAATGTTTTGATGACTCATCAGTTTTGATTTGATGAAGGATAAGAGTTATTCACAATAAGGCGTGTAGCTGACCTGATTGACAGGCGGGCGCGGTATAACGGTTTGTCAGGAGGTTTAAAACCCGCCTCAGCTCCAGCTCTCAGCCTGTCGTTAGGTTGCCTGAAAGTTAGACTGAGACAACATTTCCAGCATGGAGACTGCCTGTTCAACATTTCCAATGACAGTAGGAAACCTCCCTAAGGGGGGGCCCATCTCGCCCTAAATATGGCGGAGTGACTTCAGCTAACATTAAAGTCTTTGTTCAATAAGTTTTCACTGAACAACGATGATTATTAATGTCTACATTCTTGTCTTATAGCGACTTTTCAACTCTTTGTCAATCGAGCTCAACAATATTTTTTGTGTTACTTCCAATATATGTGACCGGATATTTACTGCTGCTGAACGGGATCAGCGCCAACAAAGTGACTATGTGTAACAAAGACAATAAAGATCGGATCCTGTCCGAATGTGAACTTGGAGATAAAATAACACATTTGAATTTTGCAGATCTTTTTAAGGTGTCAGATGTTTTATAAGGTAATGTTTATGTTGGCTGGTTAGAGGGGCCACCTGTAAACTTCTGCCCAAAACACACTGCAGAAACATGACTGCGGGGGGAAAACAGCATTAACCACGAGGCATGGACCCTTACTGTTACAACATTCAACAAGTTAGTTCAAATCATTCAAATAAAACTGGTTAGAACACATAGACAAGAGGATACTGAGACTGAGAACTTCCTGCAGCGTGCAGCAATAAGAAGCCTTACTTACGACCATAATATGGCGTTCACACCTGTAGAAAACTCCTGAATCCTCCTGAAGATAAGATAAAATAATCCTTTATTTATCCCACTATAGGGAAATTGTTCATGCTGAGCGTTGTGTGAACACAAACAGCTGAATGTTTCTCTCTTCACCCGGAGTTTCTCCTCCAGCCTCCTCATATTTATTCTGCAGAAAGTCAGAGTGAGCTGATGTGGGAACGCAGCAGGGTATAATCAGGAGAATTCACCTGGAGCTTTATTCCCTGTGATCGCTGCACAACCATAGACTGTCTGCACGCCACCTGTACCATCTCCGTGTTCTAATGAACCTGCTGATGCATGTTTCCTGTTCTCCAGTATGTTCTTCTCCACTCTTTAGTTCACATTGAGACTCTGTTCAACTACACGTAGCATTGATACAAAGCCACATATTCTCAATATAGAGTCGTATAGAGGACTCTGCTGCTTCGTCCATGTCTTTTTTTTTGCATCAAGTCTTACCTCAGGTAACCCCCCCTCCCCCCCTCCTCTCCTGTCTGACAGGGATAGTCTCCTGCAGTGAGGGGCATGTGTGAACGACCAGATCAGGAGAATCTGTGATGTCATCTGAAAGCTGTGAATACTCTCTGCTCTGAAATCAAAACATTGTAGGCTGTTTTTGTGGTTTTATATTCAAACCTAAAATCATAAAGCGCTCTGTTTCTCCACCACCTGGGATCAACAGGAACACAGTTTGCAGTGCTTGAGTGTTTCTTTAGCCGGACTGGAGCAGACTGCAGTTATGACTGGAAGTCTTCCAGGATTAAGATGTGAAAGCTGCAGCAACGCTTCACATGCTGACTGTGACTGCAGCTTGTGATTAGAGCAGGTGGCTGAAAACTCAAGAAGCTCGGACTCAGAGGGAGACAACAGGAGTGTGTGTATGAGTCGTCTAAATGTTTAATCAGCCAATGAAGGCTGCTCTACTGAGGAGTGAAGATGATCAACACATGTGAGTCAATGTTTTTATCTGCCAAGTTTTCTTCCTCTGCAGGTCAGCTCATCTGAATTGTTGATTAAGGTTTTTCATATTGAGCCTTTGGGCTGCACGGTGGAGCATCCCTCCCGTCCTTCAGGAGCCTCTCTGTGTGGAGTCTGCATGTTCCCCCTGTGCATGTGTGGGTTCTCTCCGGGTACTCCAGCTTCCTCCCACAGTCCAAAGACATGCTCGTTAGGTTAACTGGAGACTCTAAATCCCCCCCTAGGTGGTGATGTGAGTGTGGCTGGTTGTCTGTCTCTATACAGGGGCCATTCTAGAGTCTGTCGGGGCCCTAGGCAAAAGTTAAAATGCTTTCCCACCAGTGTTTAGCAGGGCAACCAGAGTGAGTGCTGTCAGATGGAGTCCCATTAGGGAGGTTTCCTATACTGTCATTGCAAAATATGCACATTTTGGGCTGCTGTGGTTGAACGTTTTGTCAGCCTTCTTGGGCCCCCTACTGGTCTGTTGACAAGCAGCTCCTTTGTCTGTATATGTCAGCCCTGTGATTGACAGGCAACCAGTCCAGGGTGTAACCCCACCTCTCG